TGTATTAAATCTTGGATTATGCATGGGAATTCAATTTTTTACTTTTTCAAATCGCCGCTTTGATTGTTTCCAATTCCTCATGATCAAAGCAAATGGAAGTCTAGACTCTTTTGGTCATGTTTTCGATTTCAATTATAATCCACACATCTATTCAGAGTCATAAAATATAAATCACTGGAGCAACGTCCAACATCTTTTAATCCGCTTAATAAGTTTTCAAAACACATTCTTGCCTTTGAATTAAAGCCCATGTTAAATTCCTCCCGGTAAAGTCGGTATTTAAAAAAAATTATAACAGGTAATGGAATCGAAAGAAGATTTCATAGTGCTTATGTTTCAATCAGTTTTGATTTCATTGTCTTATATAACTCATTTACATGAGTTTTCTATTCCCGATGCTTGGTCATAGTTTGCCTGGATAGTTAGTTCATAATAAATTGATTTAAGTTTAAATAGAAAATAAAGATAGTATTCTTATTTGAATTTTACAAACTGGGTATCAAAAAGCCGGCTTTTTTAACTTCAGTTTGAAACTGGATTTTTTTAATCCTGCTTTTTCAGAACTATAGATTGTAAATGCAGTTGCCTTCGTGTACTTTTCTATGTTTCGGTGCAGTTTTGTGAATCAAAGTATCATTTTTTGATAATATGAGAAGGAAGAGACAAAACCCGGGAATCAACAGTTATACAGGCTACATTCCGTCTCATTATCAATGTCATGATCATTATAACATAATTCCCATACCTGTTTACGGCTGGGTGTAGGTTCGCATGGGCGTAGCCAAGGTGGGGGGGGGGGGCATGTGCGCTTGCATTCCCCACCCTCTCAAAAAGAAAAAGCAATTTTGCAAAATATGAGAAAAACATTGACATTGACATCCAAAAATTCCAGGGGTAAACGCCGTTCCGGGCCTCGCTTTGTTCGCATTGATGCAAACCCAAGAAATCTCACCCCCTGAACAATTGCTGACTCTGCCCCTGGTTCAAATAGTGATTATAAGGTTAGCCATTTTGTGAAATCAAATGAGATAACCTTGACACTAAAATCTTTATTCTACATGGTCTTTGCATGAAATATCAATTGCGTTTAATATGAACTTTTTTGAAAGTACGTGAGCACCCCTCCAAATATATTCACGAAATTTGAAAGATTCGGTAGGCTCAGTTGATAATTTGATAATAAAGATAAAGAAACGGACACTTTATTGCAACTGTTTCATTTGACAGATCAATTAATAAGTCGTGTGCATGGTAGAGCAAACTTACAAAAAATACCTTTTGACATGCCAGAGCAATATACAAAACTTTAATCCCTTATTATCTAATTCTTGCAAATGAGTTAAGTTCTCACTAATATTAATCTGTTTGTTATAGTTATTATATGGATTAATTTCTACAGCCGGTGGTTCTAAAATCCGCATAAAATTATTTTGCAAGGTAAGTTTACATGTATGTAATGATTGTATAGTCCCCGTGCTACATTGTACAATTAAATTTCTGTTAAATTCAGAAATTAACCGATTATCTCTGAAGGAATACAAAAGGTAGTTCAACATTTTTTTAAGAATATAACAAGGCGGGCATGGATACCACGGGGGGGGGGGCTTAGCTAGATTATTATCAGATGTTTGTATTGTTCACTTCTAAGGATGTTATTTTAGCAAGTAATGCAATCAGACGGCTTGTGTTCAATGGTGTTACTTATAATTAGTGCTGGGATGATTTTTAAATCCATGGGAAAGTAATACCTGAGATCAAGGCATTTGTTGAAATAAAATATTGAGATTTTTAATACCAATAACCCTTTCAATAATTACATCTAGCTTATTTGATGCGAGTTTTATCTACTGCTTCTTCTAGCATCTGAGTTCCTAGTAAATTATGATGTAAGTAAATAAGGTTTTTGACTTGTAATACGTAATGTACGTGTACTTATTCAAAATATTTATCCCCGATTAAAGCTTTAATGATCGCAAAATAATAAACAATTGTATCAAAATATTGAAAACTCAATATTACATGTCAAATGACAGCTATAATTATGTGAAAATGTGAGTAAGATACAATCACTACATCTGCAAATACATGTAATGCAATATATGCGAGATCGCATTTAAACTTGATTGATTTAAATTGATTGAATGTCTGAAAAAGAGCTTTAATGATGTTTTGTTTAAATCATGGTAAATGGCTTTCGAAACATTTGATAGCAACACATATTTCAGTTTGGAACAAAATACTCAATCGCAGCAAATGTGACATAGGCATTAGCGAGGAAAATACATTTGACCCAATAATCCCTTGCTGAATCCCTATATAGATAAGATATATATCTTACACAAATATTAAATAAGGGTTCCAACAAACACTTTATCAGTAATCTTAACAACTAAATAAGCCATTTATCTGATTAAATTATGTCTATCAATTTCTTGATTGCAGATTATTAAAGAGATATTATGTCGGGAGGGGGTCCAAGATTAATACAATTCTTAAATCACCAGAATGTCATTCAGATTTAATCCTATGAATCAGCTTATTTTTTGAAATTAAAACTGAATACATAAAAAAGTGAATTATTAGTTTGTATTTTGAATGCCAAGAATGAAAAAGTAATTCTATACAAATCACGAATGCTTCTCCAAACATCCGGCCACAATTGTGTCAGGTAATTAGCACTGTTTATGTTTAGATTACTTATTAGAGATGTCAAATCATGGGTTCATCAATACAGCATTATGCTTGTTCAATATAGCAGCAAAATATTGCAGACTTTAGTCTTTCATGTTTTAACAATATCTATTGTTATTGAATAACTGAAGATGAGGGGAGGGTGGATATTGAGCAAGCTGCATGTCTCCGAGCTATGATGCACAAGTAATGATCGTACGTGGCACGCACAAATGTGGTTGTCATTTTGCCTTGCTTTGCTTGCTCTACGAGTAGTCAATAAATATAAAGCCATACGGTGAGAATGTCTACACATTGGCGCAATTTAGCCAGACAGTCGTTTGCTCCACGCCAGACCCAGGAACACGACGAAGCCTCTCGTAAGTGAAAGTTTAGCTTGCTTTTTATTTCTCTTAATGGATAGATGATTGAGTTTTGATATAAGTAGGTTCGATGAATAAAAACACAATAAAGACACTTGGCAAATTGTTGTAAATATAAGACTTGGCATTGATCTTGATAATCTAATTAATTGATTGTCTTGGAAGGTCCATTATACTGTATGGCTGAACAGTATGCTATAAACTGGTGTCTTTGTATCATTGATTAAAATACACAGTAGTGTCTATGTATTTTCAGAGCAGTGTCTCCAGAGAAGTGTATTTGTATGCAGTGACAGATTTCTCGCAAAATAGAAATCATGTGATCGCTGAATTGACATAGATATTGAGAAACTTGTAGAAGAAAGGAGTTTGAATGGGGAAAGCAGAATTCGGTATCGTACGAGAATTTCTCTACCGAAAGACAGGCCATATCTAACTACAAAAACAAAGTTTTCAAGATCGAGCAATATGCATACATTGATTTGGAGCATAAGTTCGCACCATTTTAAAGATAGAAATATAATGTTACATCGTGTACAATGCAATGTAAATATATTTGTTTAGCAGTATACAGGTTTGGCCAAAACATAATAATCCTATTTATATCCATCAAAATGTTTCATCATATTTTTTAGTATTGAACATCATATCCTTGTTTTAGGAAATGATTTTCGTTTCCCGATGTATTTAAGAAATTTAAATTAAATTATAAAAAAAACGTAAAAGCTGTTTGTGTGCAATTTTTTCTAACTTGTGTTAACGTGTATATTCAGTTTTAACTCCCGTTTATGCCTGGGTCGATGCCCAATTCACAAAACAGCGTCTACCAGTCCTCCTAAATAAGCAGAAATATGCAGATCTTGTGCTGCATATGATCTTAAAGGAATGTCAAATATACCGATCTTGACTCCATATATGCTAATGTAGTTAGTTTATATTCTCGTACATGTCTCAATATAATCACATGCTGCATATCACTTATCTCAAAATATGCAGGGATACTCATGAAAAATGGCATATATGCAGATCATATGCAAATATAACCAGTGTCAATTTCTATATATATAGTATACTCAACAGCTTATATTTGTCTCTCCCAAATAAGCAGGTATATGCAGTTTCTGCGCTGCATATAATCACAAGTAAACAGCAAATATGCAAAGTATGTCTGAATATAAGCAAATATACTCAGTGACAGTACCCGTATATTCAGTCAGTATTCTCTGTGGATGTTTGTTATATGCAGCTGCATATATTTGTGTTCCATATATGCAGTTATTGTCTGCGTTCTGTCAGTGATGATTACTGGTTATAACATGCAATTCCAAGCAAATAAACACTAGAATTGCTCGTTATTTGCAAGCAATATTCGTTATTTTATACAGTGAACAGGACTGGGGCTGGTACATGTATTTTGTCAATTCTGCACCTAATGTCTTCAAATTTTCACAACATGTACTCTGAGGTATTGCAACTAAAACTGTAAAATTGTCACAAAAAATGATAAAATGTGAGTAGAGTTATGGTTACTATAGTAACATGATATCACAATACCCGGGGCAACTTTTCCATGAAAATGTGATATCTAACATTGAATGACAAAATACCAGCACCAAACCTGTTACTTTTGGAACACCCTGTATTAGTTAAACAGTTCCTGTGAATCAAAACAGATGTCTCAACTTCTCATGCTGTTTTTACGTGAGTAATCTCTTTCTTGGGTTGATATTCGCACAAAAGATTCAACTGACTGTTTTATTTTGTTTTCCTGTTTCTCAGTATTTATTGTCAGCCTCTAATGCTAATTTATTTGGAAACGAAAGCTTTACATGACTTTAAATGATGCACACGTATTTGATATATAACTCAATACCTTCACATTTCCAGAAAAAAAATTGAAGAGAATAAACATGTATGTATTATAAAGAGATTGTTTTTCTGTTTTAGAATCATCAAAAAATCCTCCACAATTCGCAAAATACAATTAATCAGGAATCCATCTACTTTGATACGTGAAGTTGACACAAGAAAACATAAAAAGAACCCCTGGGTGAATTCTAATGGAAAAGGCACAAGTTCCAATCGCCATCCCCAAAACAAACAGAAAGAAGCTGATACTGGGGTGAGGTTGGTATCAGAGTCATATGATAAACCTTCTGTTGACGTTGCTGACATTGCAGTGGATGGGCATGATGTGGAATCACATCCAAATGATGTGGAAAAAGAACCGGTCGCTGCAGTGGATGCAGTAACTGTCAATATGGCATCGATTCAAGAGGACACTGGGCAACAAACAGACCTGGAAAATACTAAATTTTAAATGACTACAAATGTTTTTTCTTCTGTCTATAGATTTGGATATGTCAAGGATGAGACCCCTTGGAATGAGTTCCTTTATCCATTATGATAAATAGTGCTAATGGATCTCTCCATGCCCTCTCCATGAGTTTAAACAACTCGAGAAACATTTTACAAGAGAACCCAACAACAACGGGCAATATATTTTGACAAAGATGACATCAAATGGAACAAAGCATACAACAAAATACAGTCAAAATAAGAGCATACAATACAAAGTGGTCCAAACATGGACTTCAAATAATGATTAGAAGTCCATGGTCCAAAGAATGATTTACTTCAACAAAATATTACACAGCTTGAAATAAATGAAATATGTCACATTAGAGAGATTTTGCAATCATTTATTGCATGTTTATGATAATATCACACATATGGGCATATATAGTTGCACAGTCAATGATGACGTAATCAAACGCTTCATAAGTTACTGTTAGGAATGCTATAAGTATTCTCAATATTTCCTGGGATACCCCAACATGCAAAAGGATCCCCAGCTATTTGTTCAACAAATCGAAAACAATTCGTATATCTTAATAAAATGAAAGTACCAAACGAACAAGCATTTACATGTAGGAAGCATCTAAAGAGTCAACACAACGTTCAACAACAATATATTGCAACAAAATTCAAAATGATTCTACAATTCTACATTCAAAAATGAAACTACACAGGACCAAGTGTTTGAAAGCGTTGATAATAATCCGCACCCAATAAACTGTTGCCCTTTACATATACAATACAAACTGTGACTTATAAGACCTATATCTACAATAACTCCCCACAGTGCTACATCGGAGCATCTTCAAAAATTGCACAAAGGTTAAACGGTATAGTTCACAGTATCATAAAATATTTATTATTTAAAATATCTGTAATCTGTACATAATGGAATCATACATTCATACTAAAAAAGTATACTGTATACATTTACTAAATGTCAATAAAGCAATAAAAAAGCTTAAACAATATTTTCCATTGTTAGTGCCTTATACTTAAAGGGGCAACAAGGCCTGTAGGGAGAAAATAGGAAAATCAAAAAAAATTCTGAGCTATCAAGGCAACATTTGGCTTAACATCTTCTTTGACATACCTATTTTCTTAAAATGTATGGATAAACTATCAATTTCAGCCTTAAGAAGTGTAAATTCAGTTCAAAGCTTGAAAAAGGGGAAATCCACTTTTATATTTTTAAGATCCACCATGTTTCAAGAGGAATATCAGCTGAAATAATGTTTATCTAGGGGGTTTCTTTGTAGATAATAAAAATAGATGTTAGTCTTGATGAAATATCCAAACTTAAATATATTTTGGCACTGGTCCATGATCGTTGAATGGCCCCTCTGCACTAATTGTTGCACCTTTAATATTCAGTTTTTATTATCCCATCGAATGAAGTTTGGAGGGATATACATGTACAGTGTGTCTCAAAAAATGTAACACTTACAAAAAGTTCAATCTTTCATAATTTTGACTTTTCACTAAAACATATTTTGGATACTAAAAGACAAATCTTTCTCACCATCAGATTTGAAATCTGTCCTTGATCGGCTGCACAGGACGGCTTTTAGTGTTCCATGGTAAAATCTGACTTGCGCCAACTTCTAAGTGATTGGATGGACCAAAATGACAATGACAAAGGGGAACAGTTACTTTAACATTTAACTTTCTTCTGAGTTAAAGCTTTACCTTTAACTGAGCCTATTTGTCTTACATATGATCATTGGGTTCATCCACATCAACATGTGGTCCCGTCAACACGTTCTCCAACACAAATCTGAGGTACCCTTTCCTATGCGCACATGCATTGTAATATCACAGTGATTCCATCAATTATTTTTGCAGAAGTTCATTTAGGTCAGTTTGTGATGCTGTCAAGCCCTCTCAGAGGCCCTTCAAAAATCAAGGGTGTAAAGTTGGATGACCCTGGGTGTCAATTCATTGGGTAATATTCAATTAAATGCTATCTTCTGATTTTCAAAGAGTTCTGCCAAACGCCTTTGCACCATCCTGTTGCCATATCATACGTAACACAATTGATCACTCTGACAATGAAATCCTGGAATTCTATCCAGGAAAGACACAACTGGATCATTGATTGTATCAAGGTATCACTAACCACAGCATTCACACCAAAAAAGAATTGATCACTACATGTCCACTAACCACTGAGAAATTGGCGGAAATCAGATTTCACATGCGTCTATAAAATCTTTGCTGTGCAGTCAATCATGGACGGATTTTGAATCTGATGGTGTGGATTTGTTCAAGAAAGACTGGTATTTTGGTATCTAAGTATATTTTCGGGGAAAAGTCAAAATCATGAACGATATTGAAATTGAGCGTAACATTTTTTGAGACCCACTGTAGAGAACGCTATCTTGAAAAGTGGCAGCCTTTACACCCTATTATCCCACCCTAAGTGCTTTATATGATTGTATAATAGCATTGTATAACTGCAATATAAAACCAACACTCATCGTATACAACTCTTGAGAACGATATACAACTCCTGGATAGCGTATACAACACCTGGGCAGCGTATACAACTCTTCGACTTGATATACAACTGCTGAATTTAGATTAACCTTTTATTGATTAAAGATTAGGGTGGGATAATAAGATCATATAATGGTTGATTCTGTATATCGTTATACTCTCGTGAGTATGATATATTCACTCGTTTCCTTCAGTCACTCGTGAATATATCATACTCACTTGAGTATAAACACGATATACGGAATCAACCATTACATAACCTCATATTATATGATTTTTGCTTTAACTTGAAAAGAAGTAGAGTGATTTTGTTCAAATTTGATGGGTAAATAGGCCTACTCGAGCATGGCACACTGTTTTATGGCACTGGCTAGTAGGCGGACATTTTGAAAATGACCACCGTTTTTATGTGTGTTATTTAACTTCTTCTTACTCAGTATATAAATAAAAAACTAATAAAGGGATTTGTTCATATTTCATAAGTGAATAGTCATAAACATGGCACACTGTCGTAGGCGGCCATTTTCAATAATGGAATAATGAAATGTTATATGTGGCTACTTAGAACCATACTTAGTAATTGCCGTTTGTTATGACAATTTGGACACAGAACGACCATTTTGAAAATAGTGGCCAACTTATGTGTTATCTTACGATTTTTGCTACAACTGAAAAAGTAGTAGAAAGTAAGTGGCTGAGTTATAGTGTTTTACTTATCTTAGTTACTAAATGTGCTTTGCTGTGTTTTACATTTTCAAACATCATCATGTACGCTATGTTGGCTTTACATTCATTGGGTAATATTAGACACAACGCGATGGGGTTGCCTGGGACAGCTTTATGTGACAGTGCACGGAGAAAAATGCATATTATACATTCATATTATGATTTGCTTATCCCTGAATGATTCAACAATACTGTTTGTGCCCATACTGCCCGGGCCATACTGTTAGCACACACATGGTTACAAATTACTTTCCCTAATAATGCTAAGTATAGGAGCATCTTTTCATCTTAATTTTACGTTTGAATTTTCATTTACTTAACCTGCGATGCAAATACTATTGCAAACGTAGCGTAACCTTATTTCCAATACCTCCAAACGTTCCCAATTTTTTCCTCAATTACTATAGGTGGAAAATTGATGATAAATTTGATGAATTTTTGAAAATCGTCATTCCCATGTAAACCAATGGGAAATGGTGGGTTCGGGGCATATCAGAAATCAGGAAATCTATTCAGTAAAAGTTTCAGCAAAAAAATATTTAATATAGAAAATTGAATTGTCTAATTTTTTGTACACTAAGTATTTAGTTTTCTTGATGAGTACTAAAGTTACAGAGCTTCAAAGTCATTTTTGAAAATCGTTTTTCGCCTCATGTGTTATTTCAATGGGAGAGGTTTCTTGAAAAACAATTTTGACTTTAAATTTAAAGCCCTTTGTAAATCCTGAAGAAACGTATCGATTCTTGACAAAGTTAGCAAATTAAATTGCCTGCCTAACTCGTATTTTTACAAGGACTCGGAGTGATGGATATTCTGTCATATGACTTGCGGCAAACCTATCATTTCCCATTGGTTAACATGGGAATGTAGATTTTCAAAAGTTCATTAAATTTATCATCAATTTTTGACCTATTGTAATTGAGGAAAAAATTGAGGTGTTGGAAAGAAAGTCAAATTACGTTTCCATTAACAGTATAAGTATTTTTATCGCAGGTTACGTAAATAAAAATTCAAAGGTAAAGAGGCTTTAACACGTAGTTCAACGGGGGAGCTTAGGTTGCCAAACTTTTATGGAGGGGAGTGTAATTGTAGCTGTAATCCATTCTGATACTCATAGCATCTCTCTCTCTCTGTTGCATCGCAGCTCCAGAAGGATAGAGATGGAGAGGGCATGGCTTACCATAATCCAGAACTTTGAAACTTATCTTCAAACTTAAGTTAAAATCAAGCATGTTTGAAAGCCATTTCACTGGTGATCCGCTCGATTACGCTGGTTACCGAAACGGTTCGTTTTGGTAACAAAATGTCGGAACGTCGAAGGTACGATTTTTCTTTTTTCCTTATTTCACGCGTTGTAGGCAGAATCCCAACGACTTTTTTTCTCACAAACGTGTATCAGCATCATATGTTTTAGAAAATGTACATGTTTGCGATCAAATAGCTCAGAAGACAACAGAATCGTCGATTTAAGTCCTCACTTAAGTTACATAAACGGTTTGGGTTAAAAGTGCAGATCTTAACTGTTTTTAAGCCGGAACTTGTAGATAATTTTGAAAAAATTGGGCAATTTGAAGCAAGTTGAAAAATATCTTTTGACCTCTTTTGACCTTGAGAAGGTCATTAAAGGTCAAATCTCAAATCTAAAGTCACATTTGAACTTCTGATAACTTGTAGACGATTTTGAAAAAGGAAAAACACCTTTTTGACCTTGAGAAGATCATTGAGGGTCAAATGTCAAATCTAAAGTCAGATTTGAACTTCTTACAACTTCTGGACAACTTAATTGCCACAATATGTCACCACTTTTTTGGTGACATAAAAAGGAATGCTTCCCGCAAAAATGGAACATGTATCGGGTGGATAAAAAAACGTCACGAACTTTGAGAGTTAATATCTCAGAAACTATAAATAGTATATAAGTGAAACTTTCAGTATTATAACTTCATCCTATTGCCTCTAAGACCTGAAAGTTTTAATGCAGTACCTTTAGTATTAACAACATAACGTTAACAATAAAAAGTATGGTCCAAAAATGAAATACCGGGCTATAAAGTTATGACGTCTTATCTGGGAACTTTCATCTGACACTTGTCAACCAGGTGTTGAGTTGTAAATGTCTTCTTGGATTAGAAAAAAAACAGTTACTATATCTAGTATATGTTGTCTAGCTACATTGTAGACATTGCCCAGTCAAAATATACATTCCTGAAAGTCCATTGGTGTACTGTCTTGCAATACTGTACTGCAGATCAGGTCAAAAAGTGCAATGTAGCTACATTGTAGTCTTTGCTAAAAGTTATTCATATTACATTCACTTTTAATAGTCTTCCAAAGATTACTGTCAAGTTGCCATCATGGTGTTCAGCAAGACTGATAAGCTGATAAGTCAATAATTGAGGCATGTTTCATTGAAAAGGGATGGAACTAAGGGAGCAAAGATTGCTCTGGAATTTCCAGGGAAGAAGTGGAATAGGAATTCAATTAATAGAATCATCAAAAGGCTAGAGACAAAGGGATGCACTGATAGAAAGCCAGGGAGTGGTAGACCAAGAAGTGTCTGTACACAGGAGAACATTGACTATGTTGAGGGAATGATATCATCCCAAGAGGAACGACCTTGCTCCCTTCATATTTTATATGCCAACGATATCATGCGGCACTAAGTTAACTTTCACCGTCAATTTGAATTTTCCAGTGATTAGAAGTCCATGGATAGGCAATGACC